CTTGGAAATTCGACTCCAGTGTCGAACGAACAAAGTAGCAATAGCAACATCGAACGAAGGCAGAGAGGAGATGAGGGACCTCTAATTTCGTCCCAAGATCAATAAACGTGTCTTTGTACCGAAAGCGGTGGTGTGACTGCGAATTATTATACATATTGTGTGATTGTATGACGGTATGCATTGTATGTATTGTATGATCGTATGCATTGTATGTTTTGTATGATTGTATGTATGGATGGGATGTATTGTATGATGTATTGTAAGCCCCGGGGCGGGTCTCGTGCGTAGTCACCTCCTCATGGTGAGACCTGGTAATTGATATCGTTTTACAAACATTAAAGTTTGTAACACGTTATCAAGCAAAATTATAAAACGATGAACGATAAACATTAATGTTTGTGAAACGATATCAAGCTAAGGACTACGCAACCTACAGTTCAGTTTAGAGCTAAATTGAACTGTAGGAACAGTTAGTTGATAAGTAAAATATTAGACCCCCCAGCGGGGCCCCGTGGGACGACGAGGGATGTCGCAGGGACGTCGTGGGATGCGTGCGTTAAATCTTAGATTTAAGTTGTGCTTTTCGACACAGACATAATTAAAAAATGGAACAATTTTAGATACTAATCTCGTGTTTTGGAATCTGTAGACACAATTAAACATTTTACTTGTATTATTTTACTTGATTTAGTCACAAACGAGCTTTACATTTTGATATTGAAAGGTTGACAACACTGTAATGGATCTCAAAAATCATATTGCTGACTCATTCACTGTTTTCACTGACAGTTCACCAATTCACCGTGTTTTGAGAGTGCGCTAAAAAACCAGTGATTTTTTTACTATTTCAGGTCAAGATCCCCTATGTTGCTTGGTCTTTTCATATACCTCGTCTGTGATTTAGCTAAGTTTTGCACCTGAGCGCTACTGAATAGAAAATAGAATATAATAGAAAATAGCGTAATAGAAAATACGTATAACGTTGTTACATCTGCACCGAGAATTATTTATTCACTCGAACGTGAACGTTTTTTTCATTTTCATGACCATTTTTAAAGAAACGATCTACCTAATTTGCGACTATAATATAATGTTCTACATAAATTAGCATTGTGTGTCACAGACATAAATTAGCTCTTTTAGTATACGCCAACAGAGTTACAAGTTAAAAACTAACTGTGCAAATGTTTCACTTTGAAAAAAATATAGAAATTATAACATTTATTATTATTTTAAGTTGATGGGGATTATAAAACGGAAATCACTTTTATCAAACTGCTAATTACTGTAATAGAAAAATCGTATTTCGAAGTATTAACAAAGTCACCTGTTTCGCATCATTGACATTAGCGAATTTTCAGAATGACTTTGCAACAAGATTGTTTGCAAATCTCATTAGAAATTGAATCTTTATCAAGTAACATGAATTTTTAAAGAATATTTTTGAATAATTGTGATACAATGTTCAATCACTATTATTCGTGATACAATGACTAATTGCATCACTGTGAATTATATAACAAATAATATGAACTAATCGGCTGCGATCGCAGTTTTAGTTTTTCTACAATTAAAAGATTTGTTAAATTGTTAAGGAGATCATTGACTTCTAAAATTGGATTGAATCTTCTTGTGATTATGTAAATATTGTTTAAACATTGTAGAAGATCGTAGTCTTCAATTTCTCTATACGTCCTTTTTGATTAATTCGTTCGCACTTAAAGTATCGTTCGTACTTCAAGTATTTAGTTCGTTCGTACTTCGAGTACTTAGTTCGTTCGTACTCCAAGTGTTTAGTTCATTCGTACCCAAAATATTCAGTTCGTTCGTACTTAAAAGTGAAATTCAAACGTTCTTATCGTTCTATCGATGAGATCTGAAAGTAGATCTTTCGATATCTATAGGATTAGATTTGCTCTCAGCGCCGTATCTAATCACTATATCTGACAAAAATAACATTAACTCTTTTTATTCTTCTTCCGTCAACATAACGTGGACGAATTGTTGCTAGGTTCAAAAATCGAAACGACATGTCACTTCAGTGTGGATGAAATATTCTATGAAACACAAAAATATGTCATAACATGCAGCAACAATAGACAACAAAAAGTTGGTTGATGTCGCTTCATAACTCGTAGCTCAATAGTACGTTTAGCATAATGATATGTTTCCCCCACTTTGCTTGTTTATCAGTAAGCGCAGATTTCATTAAAATACATACTCCGATCTGAATACGTTACAACAATCATATGGCCTTCACCACACGTCGCCTCAAGTTTCAATCGCTATCTAAAGATGATTGGTGCATATTTTCCACTTAAAATACTCCCCCCTCCCCCTCCCACTACTTCCAAAGCATTTTTATGTTTATTAATCCGCGTGAACTTGTCATTTCCGTGCAGACGATCGAAATCGAGCGAAAGAACGACTCTTCACTGGGTAATTAACATCGACAGCAATAATTCAAATAGAACTTAACCACGCTCTGACCAGCGTGCGAATCAAATCGGTGCTGAAACGTAGGAACAGGTACAGGTCAGAATATGGACTACTTTCAACTTCTTCTCGCATTTGTTGCCATATCCCTGGCGATCTATTATTATTATCAATCGAAGTATGACTTTTGGAAGAGTCGCGGCATACCCGGGCCAAAACCGTACATGTTCATCGGCAACTTCATAGACGTACTTACTAAAAAACGCGCGATATGCACGATTGTGAAAGACCTGTACGACGAATTTAAGAATGAACCGGTCTTTGGAATATACGAGGGGACTACGCCGGTTCTCGTCATTAACGACTTAGCTGCGATCAAGGACGTCCTCATCAGAGACTTTTCCGTATTCGTCGACCGAGGATTCCACGTATTTACAGAGGTATTTTTATTTCGAATTGATTTTTTTTTTTTTTTTT